CTTTGCCATCGATGACATTCTGGAAACAGCTCTGATGAATGTAAGTAATGGTGGTGTGGATCTGTTACCTGGAGAAAGACTTCTCGACCTTGAGTATGCGGACGATATTGTCTTACTGTGCGATAATGCCCAAGGCATGCAATCCGCACTTAATCAGTTGGCAATCAGTGTCCGTAGGTATGGTATGTGTTTTGCACCTTCGAAGTGCAAAGTACTTCTACAAGACTGGCAGGATTCCAATCCTGTACTCACCCTGGATGGTGAGCAGATAGAAGTAGTCGAGAAGTTCGTGTATCTGGGTAGTTGCATAAGTGCTGGTGGGGGTGTGAGTGATGAGATCAATGCACGTATAGTGAAAGCCAGAGCGGCTTATGCCAATCTGGGCCATCTTTGGCGCCTTCGTGATGTTAGTCTGGCTGTAAAAGATCGGATCTACAACGCGTCGGTGAGAGCAGTTTTGCTCTATGGTTGTGAAACCTGGCCTCTCCGAGTTGAGGACGTTAGACGACTCTCTGTGTTCGATCATCGCTGTCTCCGAAGGATTGCTGATATTCAGTGGCAACACCATGTCAGTAATGCAGAGGTTCGGCATCATGTGTTTGGGCACAGAGATGATAATTCAATTGGTGTCACCATCTTGAAACACCGACTTCGGTGGCTTGGACATGTTCTACGAATGTCGTCCCAGAGAATTCCACGTCGTGCATTATTTGCCGACTCTGGGACTGGTTGGAAAAAGCGGAGAGGTGGTCAGTGCATGACATGGTGTCGTGGTATGAAAGAAAGCTGCAGAGGACTGGCTTGTGTTGGTCCTTCACGACTCCCTGGTTGGGGTCTGAGAGATAGTGCTACACAGTGGCTAGAGACGTTATCAGATATGGCTCAGAATAGAAGCCAGTGGCGATCCTGCTGTAACCTTCTTTTACTTTCTTCATAAAAAGTGGTTGTGTCTCCCTCGCTTGAAAGATTTCTTCTGATTGTACTTTTCCGTTCCACTGTTACGACCACACTAAATTACACCAATCTCTTCGTTATCGTTCTCTTTTTCTTTTGTGCTCCTTAGTTTTTTTTTTTTTTTTCTATCTCTTCGAAGTTACATTGTTTTGTGTGGCGCATATATATTGGCGCTCTCTTGTACCAATATTTATGTGTTAAAATAAATAAATAAATAAATAAACCCAGATACATGAACTTCTCGACTACTTCTATCTGCTCACCATCCAGGGTGAGCACGGGATTAGAATCCTGCCAGTCTTGTAGAAGTACTTTGCACTTCGAAGGTGCAAAGCACATACCATACCTACGGACACTGATTGTCAAGTGATTAAGTGCGGATTGCATGCCTTGGGCATTATCGCACAGTTAGACATATTGTCTAATAGGAATAACTGGGTTGTGTAATAAGAGAGAATTATATCACAACACCACTAATTTAACAATGAAGTAAACTCGGCTTTGTAAATCTCGGACACATTAACACAAAACATTCAAAACAGAAATACGTACATCTACTCTAACTTGTTGATCCATCTCATAATCAATAGAACGAAAAAGAAATAAGGAAATTTTTTTTATTGAGGATGAGGTTTCAGAACCGCAAATTCAGTCAGTCAGTCAGTAACAACGTAGAACTTCGTACGTACGTACATCAGTTCGAGTTGCCACACCATCTTAACACAGAGATGCAGTTGTCGATTCAAATCCCATTGTGGTAGAGGTAGCAAGATTGTAAGCAGTGATCGGAAGATTAGGGTTTGGAGATGTTATTTAAAGAGTATAATTCAGTGAAATAAATTTGGAAAGAGGAAAAAAAGGACATGAAGAATTCAGACGATTAGAATTTGGGAGAACACAAAGAGTGGATGCACCTGCGCCATTGCAAACGATTTTGAGCCATGTCATTCAGGGTCTCTAACCATCGGTTGCTATCATCTCGCGGTCCCCAACCAGGTAGTCTACACCTATCAACATGACTCAGACCACTTGTCAGTGACTTCATGGACTTGTGCCATGTTTTGGTCTGGCCGCCCCTAGCTTTCTTCCGAACCGCAAATTAGCCATTTAAAAGTGTCATATTTGATCGATTCTCATGGGATTTTTTAAACAAACATTGGATTTTAGAAAATTCTTCAGTGAATCAACTCAACAAACTATGTTTAATACGTTAAAATATAAAACGCTGCATTAATTGAAGTTTTGTCACAACACGCGAAGATGGTATACATAAGTAAACGAACCTTTAACAACAATTAAAAAACATAAAGAACTTTTTCATACACCCATGAAATTTCCAATAAACAAGCGAACTGGGCTATTAAATTAGTCAATCAGCTACAACGTAAGACCAAGCACATAAATGCATCCGGCCAAGTTGCCACACCTCACTAATACAACAAGATGAACACCCAATTCATAGTAGTTACTGCAACAGTAGTAAAAGATTGTATATAACGATATAATACAGGAAGAAAGAATTAGTTCGTAAAAAGAAAGATATGAATCTCGTAGTTTAAAGGAAGACAGAGAGTGTATACACCTACTACATTGTGGTGGACTCTGAGCCATGTCACCCACAGTCTCCAACGATTGGTTACGATAGTCACGCAGACCCCAACCAAGTAGTCGGCATCTATCAGCATGTCTCAGACTAAAAGTTGGTGATCTTTGTGACAGATAAAGAGCCTGAGAGATGTTTGAGTAATGAAAATGAAGTGTATTATAAAAATAGGTGAAGAGAATTCATCGATATTGCCTACATTAGGTTTTTTATGACCTCAGTTCGCGTATTTACCGGAAAAACAGTAGAAACACAACGCTATAGTCAAATCAAATATACAATTCAAGATTTAACGTACACTTTTCCAAAATAAAACCAAACATAAACAAATTAAACTGTAACTAAACTGAAAATCGAATGTTCATAATGTTCATGGAACCATTTCACACTAACCTTCTAGTCTATTCGAAAAGACTATTTTTTCTTTATAAATTACAAACTATAGATAATTCCTGTGATAATAAAAGGATATAACTTTGACAAAGATGATCATAAAAGATAAAACAAAGTTGAAACAGATCTCAAACACATAAGACTTATCCTAGAACAAAAAGAAATTCAGGGATTGTTAAAGGATGTACGATGTTCACTGCCTTGTGGATCAGACTTTTAGGTCGAAGGCTCCGAGTGTGCCCCCCTAAAAAAAACCACCTGCTTCGGTTTGAGCGCCCAGGCAGTATCACAGCCCTAGCACAAATCAAATGAGATTTGTGTGGCGCATATATATTTGGTGCCTCCATGTACCAATATCTGTGTTCAAATAATAAAATATTAATAATAATATGAGGAAAGGAATCGATATTGATTTGGGTGAAATTACGTTACATGAAATTATTCAATGTGAACATTATCCATAATTTACGTTATGTGGCAATTACTCAGTTTATAACTTCTAATTATTGTAACTGATGTATAATTGATTAACTTAAGTTCTATCAAAGTCATCATCAACAAAGTTAACAATAATAAACTGAACTTCTCAGTTTAATTAGCACAGTACGAAACAAGAAGATAAAAGTAGTTTTATTCAATTTATTGAAGTCAAAGTTGCAAAACATCTACATAGTGCCCAGGTGTATCAAGGATACAATGAAAATAGTATATTCGGGTTTATTTATTCGTTAGACTATGAGGCATACCAACATTGTATGAGGATACTATGGATGATATTGAATTTTGCAAACCAATAATATTTCGACAGTTCATAAATAACAATCTGCATCCAAAAAATTTTGTAAGTCAACCTAAGAACAAGGGAGAAGATGTGGATCATTTGACACTAAATTAAAGCTACAGCGTCATTTATCCCACCAAGTACATATATATACTCTAAACAATACTATTTATTATTTGAGGGTTGAAGCTGGAAATATGATGACGGTTACCATCTACCAGACGCCCATATTGTGCAAGAATACTTCGTTTGGCGTAGCTGCAGAAGGAACTGAGTTATTCGTTATCTTAATGGTCTGAGAATGTGACCGTAGAGCTCAAATACCAACTGCTTGAGATCAAACAGACGCGTAAGTTTATTACGATGAGCTAGCCCCACACTTTAAGACCTTACCTTGGGCAACGGAAATATGTGACAAAGTGAAACGATCTACTTTGAGGACCAACCTATTGTGGCCGATCTGTTCCTATGTAGAAAAGCAATTTAACTGTGGGTGACCCTGGTTGCTTAAGGGAGACACCTTATAGCCAACAGTGTGAATTCGAGCTCGGACTTTTAGTTTGCTGATTTTATTCTTATCACTATCCAAGCGACCTGGATTCCGAGCATGGTAGAACCTAAATGAACAAGTGTTCTGGTCAATATAACTTGACTGGTTCATCACAATATCCGAACTCGACGACCAAGTTACAATACTATCTACAGTCGGATAACTGACGGCAATAACATTCATTACGAACTATATTAGAAATAAATAACATTGGACACTTGATTAGTTGTAGTTTTATGACATTTTCCAACATCGTCAAGACTTTAAGTCCTGCAAAGAGCATAATACTATTAAGTTACTGGAAATGCGAGAGCAGTTTTCACACGATTACCTTAAATACATTTTTAAGACTTAATTACGAAGTAAGTCTGTTCGAGTCGTATTAATCTAAAGTTGACCAATAGTAAAAGTAATTGTTACCATAACATGATGTTCATACGTTGTGAAGCACAGAGTTAACTATGAGGAACTGATAATATCCAATAAGAAATAACATATGCACAAGAAACGATGGCATAATATGGTTAATGTGCCCATCTATCAACCACTATAGTTATGAACCCTATTTCGTTTAATTCAGTTTGGATAACTGAGTATTACCACCAACCTTCATAAAAAATAAATTTGGTTCACAGTCAAGTACACATAAACCTGCATTTGATGAGATGGGTTACATTATTTTTCACTGACATGCACAAAAAAAGAGGTAGGGTACTCACCTGACACTTGACTGTTTGGTTTTCTCCGACAACAGTAGCATCTGAAGTATTACATATAATCTTACATAACTTTTCGGAAGAAGTGTATACTTTGTCGATTTTACCAATTAATGAGCGATTTGAAGTTTGACTACCGATATATTTAAATTGAATTGATTGTAAGTCAGCTTTAGGACGTTTTATAAGATTTTGTGCTTCACAGATTTGACTAGGACAATCAGTATTTGGACGTTTAATCCGTAAAAATATAGACATAGTATACAAAATCTGCAAAATAGTCTTTGAAAATTAAAATTATGAGGTGAATTAATTTGGACAAGTCATTTTCAAAAGAATTTTTCAGAGTTGGTTTACTTATCGATCTTCATTGGGGATATTGAGAACAACAAACAATCAAACATGAGACTACAGGTTTCTACAATTCGACTTATTTGTACTTAGTCGAATCTTGGTGAAACGATAATCCGTGCTTTTGTACGTGATTTTTCATCCTCTTTCATAAAATACGTACTGAATTGGCTATGACCACGTTGAACGAGACCATTTTAGAAAGGATAATGAGAGTGAAAGAAATGCAATCAAACCTGTGCCTTCACTCTCTGATGAATGATTCTTTAGATTTCGTGAAGTATAATAGTAAGGTTAAAGTGGGGGGTGAGGTGACATGAGCTACTCGGTATGATACAAACCACGGTTAGATGGCCTTTTATTCGTCTATAAGCTAGGGAGAATAGTTTCAGATGATAGGGTTTACCTTGACAGAGTTTTCTGATTGATCCTATTTCATTTTGTTGAACGCTTCCGCATTTGTTACGAAAAATTTACATACATTTTAAGTGTAACAAAGCCCCCAAACACCCAGGTACGGCCGATGGTGGGGATTCAGCTCTCCCTCTCGAAATGCCCTCATATGGCCACGTGCATTCAACCACTAACACGGAAGTCCTGCTCACTGAATTCTTGCACCACGGGTGCTCTTTACGAGAAGCGAATATTCGGCGATTTAGCCGGGTTAGTGCATATGGAGGGTTTACCTAAGGGAGTTGGAAAACCCTGATTCCAAACCAATGGTGTATATGGGATTCAGTATCCTGAGGGAACAAATGGAGTATGAATTTGCTGTTGGTCACCAGTTACCATGGGACGGCATCTGTTTACGTTGCTCCACTGCCTTGTGAGTCAGACCTTTCGGTCAAAGGCTCGGAGTGTTGTCTTCTAAGAAAACCACTTGCTTCGCTTTGGGCACCCGGACAGTATCATAGCTCACACATAAATCAAGTAACTTGTGTGGCGCATATGTATTTGGTGCCCTTTTGTACCACTATTTATACGACCAAATAAAAATAAATAAGTACAACAAAATTGCAGATTTAAAGATGTGAGTGGATGCATACTCAGTAGCTCATGTCAACCTAATCCCTACCTTAAGCCCATTATTTCACTTAGTGACGCAAACCCAGGAGAAAAACTATCAAGGAAGTTACACAATTGTGAGACAAGACTTGTAATTACTAATCTTACTGCTGCTATTCCTCGCGATGCACCTCATTCCTCAATATTAAGTTATCCTACTTAATTTTATCTCAACATTAACGTTTACTGATCTTTATAAATAAAGTAATTCCCTTCCTTTATTTTCAGTTCTCGTCCCAATCTTCCTGTTCGGGAGAACTTAGGTTTTCCCTAAATTCGTAAGAAATATAATAGTTTTCCCGAAGTTTGGAAAAATGTTGGGAGAACGGCAGAAAACCCTCAATTTTTTTTCGATAACGATCTCCCCAAAATACCGAGATTGGGGTTGTACTCTCGCTTCTCATTCCATTATAATAATTACCAATACAGTCAGTTAAATAAATCTCATGTAATTCCTTACCATAACCATCAACTGTGAATCATAATTCCAATTCATCACACTGCTTTATAACGTTCATTTAAACCCAGTTAGTAGGTGTACACTTTTAATATCACTTAAGCGTTGCTCAAAGGTCGATCAAAAATTATAGTTTAACACATGAGGCTGCTCAGATATTTATTTGTAACCCGTAAATGTTACTCCTTCATGTTTTGACTTTGTAGAGGTTCGCATACTAGAGCATTATGCAGAGTAGAATGAGGGTTGTGAAAGAACAATAGGAAAGGTAAGTCACTGATAAGGCAAGCGAATAGAATACACTAAAAATCATTACCGAAATCAATTAACAACAATCACCAATCATACAAGCATTAACTCAAGAAAAATATTTGAAACAAAACTACAGGTAATTAGTTACCCATGAACAAAACTAAATTGCACATATTCCCGCCAACCTTTCACCAACCATGTCCTTCAATTTTCACATTTTTAAACGACAAGAATAATAATATCTTGCACTTTTCCAACACATTTGTTACAAGCTAATGTAAGTCAATAAAGTTCTTTGCACTAGATTCTTGTTGTTTCAGTACGATTCCAAGTGTGCGATACTCTTCGATTAGTGGCGTTCTAGACACTCAAATGTACTAATTCTAGTCAGTGTGTCGGTAAATTTGTATATCCTGTGGTTTGACGGGTGTTTTCTTATTTCAATGGTTATCAAAGTACTAGGTGGGAGGCTGCTTGATCGCAACGTGAAAATAATAAAGCTGTAATTCGAGTACTAATGCAAAGTGATTATTTCGACTTTTATTAAATAATTTGATTAAATTGTAGTATGAAAGAATACGGAATCGAGAGGATAAGGGTAGAAACGGTTATTTTAACCAGAAAAATAGGAAGAAGTTACTGATACGGTGTGATGATAACTGTGGTAAAGATGCCACAGGTATTTGGAGTTTGACAACTCCTTCACTAGTAACACATTCATAATCGAAATGTACTAACCCATTCAAATCAGAAGTCAGAAACGAAGTGGTTCGAAGACAGTGTTGGAAGACCATCGATATATCGAGAAGCGTTCAGTCTAAGTCAGTCTTCAGTCAGTCTTCAGTCTTCTGTAATAAAGATAGTAGGTTGGTGAACCTGTATTAATCCTGACACATTGCTTTCCAGTGAAGGTCCAGCTTCTCCTTGAAAGTATTCACTGTTGTGGCTGATACCACTTGTTCGGTAAGGCGTTCTAATCATTGACTACTCAACGAGAAAAACGGGACCCTGCTTCAAGTTTATTAGATCGTGGTTTATGAACCTTCTTGCTATGACCTCGGAGATTATTAGTGCTGGAGGGAGCAAAAAGATAAGACATATTAACATCCAAATCGTAATTAAAAATACGAAATGCCAGTATAAGGTCACCTCGTGTCCTACGATACGACAAGGGGGCAAAGGTTTAGGCGTTTTAAACGCTCATCGTAAGGGAGTCTAGAAAGACCCTTCACTAATTTCGTTCCCACACGCTGGACGCGCTCAAGGGAATTAGTATCCATTACCAGACACGGGCTAGCTGCTTGGATACAGTACTCTAAGTGTGGTCTTACATAGGTGGGATATAAAATTCGAAACGTTTACTCGTCAAAAGATTTGAACACTCGGCGAAGTGACCATAACGCACGAAAACCTTTGACAGCGGCTGCTCTGCAATGCTTAGATGTTTTTAAATCATGACTTAATATTACTTTTAAGTCTTTATGCTCTTGAACGCATGGAAGAGGTTTACCCTCAATAGTGTAACGGTAACTATTACCGTGACCGATGTGCATTAGTACACTCTTGCTAACATTGAATTCTGAGCCCCACTCTCGAGCCCATCTAACTAAATCGTCTAAGTCAGCCTAAAGATCCACATGATCAGCCGCACTTTTTATTGTTCTCCAGATTTTTACATCATCCGCAAACAATAATGTCGACGACCTAAGTAACAGCGGTAAATCATTAACGTAGAGAAGGAAGAGCAGAGGGCCTAATATGGTGCCTTGGGGTACACCACTTTTGACCGGCTTCCAATCGGATAACGTTCCGTTGACCCTCACTTTGTTTGTAATCACATAAGAAATTTCCTATCCACTCATGTACAGTACCTATTATTCCGAAGCTCGTGAGCTTCTGCATAAGACCTAAGTGTGAAACCTTGTCAAATGCTGTGCTAAAATCTGGGAATATCACATTGACAGACAGACCGTTATCTAGGGCTGCTGTCCAATCCTCACTCGCAATAAGCAAGTTAGTCAAGCATGAATGCTTGTTACGAAATCCGTGTTGCTCGGGTGCTAACAGATTGTGTGAATCTATGTGGCTTAGCAACCTAACCCGAATTATCTTTTCAAGTAACTTAACGACTATGCTAGTTAGATTGATAGGTCGGTAGTTAGATACTATCTGTCTCTGAACGTCCTTAAATATAAGGCTGACTATAGCGTCCTTCCAATCTCTAGGGTGTTGACCGAGTGAAAGGGACATGTTGAAGTGTGTAGCGAGCGGTTTTGAAATAATATCCGCAAGAGATGATGGCAACCGCGGATGTAACCCGTCAGGGCCCGGTATCTTACCAGGTTTGAGGTTAGTTATCAACGGAAGGACAGTTTCCTAAGTCACCTGTCCAGACTCAATGGTTGGTATCTCGGTGTGAGTGGGACAAGTATTTGTTACAATAAACGTAGAGAATACTTCACTAAAATAGTTTGAAAAAATCTCAGCTTTTGCTCGATCTGATTCAGCTAGTAAATCTGAATTTTCGTGTAACAGTAACGGGGGAATACCATCACTAAGTTTCATTCGCCGTTTGACATACGAAAACAATCGTTTCGGACAGGTACGGCTATCATATACTAACTGTCGTTCGTAAGTGATACGGGATTTGTCTATGGTTTTCTTACAGATATTACGGAATTTTTGATACTCACGCTTAAATGGTGCATGACCTGTCAGCAAGAATAAGTCCCAGAAATGTTTCCTACGCTTTAACAGTTTCCGAGTTTCCTTAATAATCCATGGAGAGCAATGTGATAGCTTACGTGATGACCATGTGATAAACGGCGAAGTTACGGACTCGAATGTAGCCTTAAACTTATTCCATTCATCTTCGATCAATCCATCCGCGTCGATTGACCAATCAGTCGAGATAGCACAGTTTCTGATTTCCGGAATCTTAGCTCGCCAGATATTGGGACGGGGTGGAGCAGATACGAATTGTATATCATGTGTCATAAACTTAAACTGAATTACAACGTGATCAGTGTTCACTAGTGGAGGAAGGTGCTGGATATCAAGGACATCCTCAGAGTGGTGGTTGAGGGCGAGGTACAGCAGTGACTGAACATGTTGCAAATCAATATGTGTCGGTTTTGTGATACATTGTACAAGTGCACACTGAATAACGGTAGAAAAAAGGTCGCTATCGAGACCACTACCTGGAGCTGTAAGCTCTATCCAGTTGATATGCGGTGCGTTGAAGTCCCCAATGATGAGAAAACATTCTGCCATACTCTAAGAACAGATGTGTCTTAGGATAAAGTCGTCAGCAAGACAAAACGGACTATGGTATATTCCCGCTATAGTCACTAACCCATTTCTAGATTTAATCTTACAACATGCAACCTCACATGTGCCACTGATATGAGCCTCCGATATGGTTGATTGTATACGAAAGTGATCCCTAACGTATAATATTATATCTCCTTCCTTGCGACTTGAAACTCTATCACTTCTAATACAGATATAACCTGCAATGAAAGGAGAACAGTCTATATCTACTATGAACCAAGTTTCTGTAACAACGATTATATCGGGACATAATTCTTCCACCTTCAGGCTAAGCTCGGACGTTTTATTTCAAAGACGACGAGCGTTCGTGTACCACACACTTAAGGCGTTTTGGCAATCAATCGTTCTACCCATACAGGCCTCGGAAGCATTGGCTCCCAAGACCTCATTACCCGAAAACCCTTAATGTTAAGGTTATTTTCGCCATTAAATTTGCGAGTCCTCAATACCGTAAGAGCATCCTTCCATTTGATTCGATCCTCAAGCGGCCAATCTGGTCGAATACGGATATTTGAGTCACGAGTTCTTGGTGCGTTTTTCGATAATATGTCTCTTTCCTCGAAAATCCCGAGAACCAGCTTCAGGATTCTTCTTGGTTGGGTCTCGCATCCAACCCATTCACCAACTCGTATTACTTTTGTATTATGTACCCCTGAAACATGTTCAGGTAGTACATTACGTACCACAGACTCTACATACTGCAGGTCATGTGCATGTCTTCTAGCAGGGTCGTTTTCTTTCGACTCCTCTAGATTCCCAATAATTAAACTAGGGAGGTGTTTAGCTTCTTTTGAAACTGTGTTCACAGCTTTCGACCGTGACGTTAAATCCTGTATTTTAACTACTGGTATCTTACGATTAGTTTTTATTGTAACAGATTCCTGGGAGTCGAGCGAGTGACTCACAATGTTAGACGAAGCTTTACTATGGGACGATCAAAACAGATAATTAACTCCATGAGAAACAATACCACTGTCCTTTTAAATAGAGCGGGTGAATTTTGGCTGGCTAACAACTGCAAAGGATGCGTAACACGGCGAACCCAGTCGTAATTTGGTAATGAAGATGCCACAGGTATTCGGAGTTTGATATTAACACTTCCTAATATGAATCTTACCCACCAATTGAAATTAAAAGATAGAAGCAAAGAGGTTCGAAGATATATTTGATAGACTATCAATATATCGAGAATCGTCTGATCTAATCTGGCTAGCGATTGCAGGGGATGTTGAGCACGGCGTTCCCAATCGTAATCTAGTGGGGATGCATGACCGAGCGCCTTCAGCCAGGTGAGTCCATTAAAAATAATGTGGTCAGCATCCAGAGCTATTTATGTTTGGGTTTTTCCCCTACAGTACGTTTCCTGACCTTGCACTTTTGGTTTGGTACGTCCGATAAAAGTAATGAGGTCAACATCATTATCGAAAACTTCAGGATTATTTATTTTTGAGATTTGCGGGACATGCATCAGACACAGTTGCCTTGACGGCATCTCTCATGTGGTTTGAGTTGGTACCTCAGCTCTCCGAAACCGCAAACCTGAAATTGCGCTCTGGAGAGACAATCTCGAGCGAATTTTCATAGAGAGCACAAGTGTTTTATGTCAAATAAAGCAGAACATTTATGACATCACACTTTGGCAGGTCAATATTTAACGCGTTGTCTACAGCCTATTCCTTCATAATTGTAATTCCCTTTGGAAAACTCCTGTGCCCTCTATGAAAATCCGCTCGAGATCGTTTTTTCAGAGCAAAAATACCCCTCAAACTACAGGATATATTAATATACTGCCACACTGACTAGAATTAGTACATTTGAGTGCCTAGGACACCACCAATCGAAGAGTACAATATACTTGAAATCGTACTGA